ATCGCCTGCTCAGCGCCGTCCACAGCCACTGTCGGTCCACCGTCGGCCATCATAGATCTGCCGCAGTCACCGCCGATTCGTCTCCGTCCACAGCATTGTCGGCCCACCTCCCACAGCCCATTGTTCTCCAGCAGCTCCGACCGGCCATCGTCTACGCCACCGTCTGGTTCGGCGTCTGGAGCTCTCATCTCCGTCGTCTGTCAAATTTCGTCGCAGAGGTCGGCAACAGCCCCGTCGAGTTTTACAGCTAAAAAAAATAAAAAATAAATAACCTTCTCTATCTACTTAACGGCGAACGGAAAAGGACTTGTAGAAAGCGACGCCGGATGTCACCGGCCGGAGGAGGGTGGCGCGCAGACACGGAGGAGGGCGACGCTGGAAAGTAGTAGAAGGACATTTGGGAATTAGGGATTTTATTTTAAAATTAAATTATCTTGAATGACTTGATTGTAATTTAGTAAATTTTATTATATTTCAATTTGGTTCAAGTGTCAAATTTGTAATTTATGAAAAGTTTAGTAAATGCAAATTAATCATAAATAAAATACACAATATACTGTGTATATAAATATTAAATATAACTGAGATGCGAGTGCACAATAGTGTTATAAGAAATGCACATTAATGACTAATACACTGCACAATACTGGACGACACGGACTAAACTAAAATTTCGGTTTGAATTTTTATAAAGAAAATATTATTTTTTATATATTTCTTTATGCATATATATTAAATAATAATAACTATTAAATATAAATATTATAAAGTATTAAAATAGTATTGGACATACAAAAACGTTTCAATTATTTAAATCACATTATAATAAAAAATTATATAAGTATTAAATAAGAATATTAAAATACTAAAAATATTTTTGTAAAAAATAGCTGCAATTCGAATGCACATTAGTGCTAGTTAGATTGTACTTTAGTGACTAACAGATTGCACATTAGTGACTAGCAAATTGCACTATAGAGTTCGAAACAACCAGACAAAGTTTTGTGTTCGAAATTTATATTTTGATTCGATTATTTGTTTTTCATTTTTAAAATTTTTAGTTATCTCGGTTCAATGCCAGCTTTATTATTTTAAATAACCAAACGGTAGAACTGTATAAAAAAAATGTTGTGTTGTTATATATATTTTTAGGTCTTTACAATAAAAATTAAAAAAAAATAATAAATAAGTAAATAAAGAATATTAAATAAACATATTAAAATAATAAATATATATTCATAACATAAGTTATAAAATTATTTGGATTATATAGGTTAATTCAGTTAGACGATCAAATAAACCGATTATTTCAGGTTTTAGTTTGGTTTGTGCAAAAATCATTAAAATATAACAGTTCGAGCGCACATTAGTGTTAGATATATTGCACATTAATAATTGTCAGATTTCACTTTATCGACAAAATCGACAGAACTAAATTCGTTGAAAATACACGCGTGCACAATATTGTTAGAGAAATTGCACATTAATGACTATCATATTGCACAAATAGCGACAAAAAATGAACATATTAAAATTTCGATTTGTAATTTTATATTTCAGTTCGATTATCCATTTTCGCTATCAAAATATCATTTATTTCGGGTTAATGCCAACTTTTTTTTTTCGATTTTTAATAACCAAACTAACTTAACTATATAAAATATTATTTATATATATATATATATATATATATATATTTTAAAATTATATTTTTTTTTCAGCCATAAACAAACTCAATATTATTATTATTATTATTATTATTATTATTATTATTATTATTATTATTATTATTATTATTTCAGTACGGTTTTATTTTGAGTTTCGACAAAAGTTCGATCGATTTGATTAGCTATTAATATTGTGCAATCTAATTATTAATATTGTATACTTTTAAATTTTTAATAATTACCAATTTATCACATGAACTCAATTGAAAATATACTTAATTTTCTTAATTTGCAAACAAGTCCCTATAACATACTCCCTCCTATTTTTAATAAATGTCGTTTTGAGAAGGTGCACAATAATTAAGAATATTTTTTTTACCAATAATAATCCTCATTAATAAGGATAGAGATGGATGTTTTGAGAAAATATGGAGAGTGAATATGAAAATACGTAGTGTATTTATTAGTTAGATGAGGGTAATAATGGAAAAATATGTACAAAATAGCCAAAACGATATTTATTTAACAAATGATCAATTAAGCTAGAATGACAAATAATAAAAATAGGAGGGGGTATCTAATTTCCAAATACAATGCCCAAAACTCAAACACACGCAGGCCACAAACACCATTACCACTTTCACTTGAATAGTCAGCCGGTGACCACTCAAATGTGTCGGTGACCATCAA